ATTCCCTTGCATTACAGACATTCGAACTCTTTCTATTTAACCACTCTCGTTACAAGTAACCATCCTTGTTTTTGTGCCAGCTGCATATCCAGGATTCATTATGTTCTCAAGAGACTCAGAGGTCTCTGAAGGTTATTTCAACCTTTCGCTCTCCACATTTATATAGCTTAAATTATGACAATAAAGCCATTGTCTAGGTATGTATGATTCAGGTGAAGAACATATAACACCACTAATACCAAAAAATGTTTTGTGTGTCCTTATGAGACTACATCCTTCTCTCTAACCAACCCCAGGATACTAGTATCATTATTTTTGTTGTAATCAGTCCCTTTCCTTCAACTATGTCCCTAGACAATATATTGTTGGTTTGTTTCTTTTAGAACTTTTAATAAGTAGATCATGCTGTTTTCTATGAATCATACCATATATATTTTCCTGTCACTTGATTTTTCATCTACAACTGATTGCTGTCTTTAGGTTGGAAAAAATGAAAAAGGAATATAGAAATCTGAGTACATGGAAAGAAAAAGCTGATTATTTGGAAAGCATACTTAATCCAGAATTGGAACATAAGAATTCCAAGGTAATTAACGTAATACGTTCTCCCACATGTAAGCTTTTAATTTTTTTTTTTGGTACCAGGAATTGAACTCAGGACCTTGTGCTTGTGAGGCAGGCACCAGAACCACTGAGCTAAATCCCCGGCCCTAGCTTTTAATATTTTTTAATAAAGATATTATAAAAATTAAAGGCAATGTTCAAATATTGCTTACTTTTTCTTGATATGTAAAATGCTATTGTGGTTTATGCATTTCCCTATTTTGATAATTGTCATTATTTGTTGATAACTTCTAAGGTTTAGTCAGTTGGCTTATTTAAAGTAATCAGTTCAGTGGTCTTTACATATTCACTCAGTTGTGTATCCATCACCACAATCAATTTTAGAACATTTTCTTTACTCCCCCATACTCCAAAAAAACCAACCCCACACCTTCTAAGCAACAGTCCCTCAATCCTCCAATCCTCCTCAATCCTTCCAACCTTAAGCACTAACTAATCTACTTCCTTCTCTATGGATTTGCCAATGTAGATATTTCATGTAAATATATAATATGCAGTATTTTCTGACTTGCTTTTTCTAACTTACTACAATGTTTACAAGGTTCAGCCTTGTTGTAGCATATATCACTACATTTCTTATTTCCAAATAACATTCCATTATATAGTTATACCACATTTTGCTTATTCATTCATCAACTGATGGATATTTGGGTTGTTTCTACTGTTAAACCACTATGAAGAATACTGCTATGAACATTCATGTGTAAGTTTTTGTGTGAATTAATATTTGGAATTCTCTTGAGTATATACCTAGAAGTGGAACCTGGATCATACTGTAATTCCCAGTTTAAATTTTTGGAGAATTGCCAAACTTTTTCACAGCAACTGTAGCATCTTACATTCCAACTAGCAATGTGTGAAGTTTCTAAATCTTCAACAACATTTATTATTATAGCCATCTTTGTGGGTCTGAAGTGATGACTCACTGTGCTTCTAATTTGGATTTCTCTAATGACTAATGATAGGAAAATCTTTTTTCTGTGTTTACTGTCCATTTCTATACTTTCATTGGACAAATATTTACTTAAACCTTTTGTCAATTTTTAAATTGAGTTGTTTGTAACTTTTGTAGCTGTAACTTTTAAAAACTGTATTGTGGATACTAGACCCTTATTAGATATGAGTAATGTTTGATATTTAGAAGTACAATCTAACCTATACATTCTGACCTGGAATTAAAGAATTCAAAAATATCTCCATGGAGAGATAAAACATTGACTGAGATCATCACCCTGAAAAAGTAGTGATAATATGTTGATATTTTCATTTTTTTCAATTCTTGTGTGATAATTGGACAATGTTTTACTTCTATACAATACATTGGTTGGTATTTACTAATACAAAATTAATATTTTAGGGAAAATTTTGGGGAGTATCCATAAAGAGCACCCATAAAGTGACTATGAACTTTGGTTTCTTATTAAAAGATCAGTATTCACAAAAATCCCAGCCAAGCAAAGTGGCACATGCCTGTAACCCTTGCTGTGCAGGAGAGTGAAGCAGGAGTATCACAAATTTAAGGCCATCCTGGATGTCTTAGTGAGATCCCTGTCTCAAAATAAAGTTAAAAAGAAAAAAAAAGTCTAAGGCTGGTAGGATGTTTGCCTATAATGTGGAACACCTTGTACAACCCTCAGTACTGCAAATTTATTTATTTATTTAGTGTTGTTATCCTACCTTATAATTTTCCTTAGAAATATATATATATAAATAATTTTCCAAGTTATGGGCTATAATATATTCTAATCAAAATTTGTGCCCTAGGGCTATTCTCTTAGCTCTTGAAGTTATATTGTGTAATTTGTCTTATAATCTGCATCTCTCATACATTCATCAGACAAATGCTCCATCCATTCTTGAATACCTGCTCTCTGGAACATCAACTTCTCTTTAAAATTGTGCCCCTTGGATTGCTTTTCTCACAAATTCAGCTCCTTGTCTCTTGTAAATTTGGAGAAAAAAGCATATCATATTAAAAAGATTTTAAGGCAGAGGAAAATTTTTTGCTCTTTAAATGTTTCCCCCAATATATTTTCTTTTTTTATTCTAGGAAACTAATATAAATAAGATGTCAGAAAGCCTAAATAATAACCAATATGAAAAGAAGTCTGAAGATACTATAACATTAGGTAAGAAATTAATTTGTTTTTATGTTTATCGAGACAATTAAAATCAAGGTGTTATATCACAAAAATTAGTCATTTGCTGCAGGCAAATTTCATTTTTATTAGGGAATAAATATACATTTTCATCATAGATTTGGCATATAGTATTTATTTTGTAACACTTCCCAGGAAAATGTTTAGACCCTATTAAGAATTTTTTTTAAGGTTTAATGCTCTTTTGCTCCTTTAAAATTACGGAAAAAAGTTAAACCTCAACTCTGATCTGTGAAAAAGAATTTTTGTTCAACATTGTGAGCTGTAGAGCTAATGGCCTCTTCTGTGTAGAGGAGAGAGGGAGAGAGAGAGGGAGAGAGAGAGAGAGAGAGAGAGAGAGAGGAGGGGGAGAAAGTGTAGTTGGAGAAAAGGAAGAAATTAATTAGCATTAAATTGAAGAAATTACACAAATTATCAGTAAGAGACTTAATTGGAGAAAAATACATGTAGACTTTTTAAATATCTGTCTTTAAGAGAGTCCCTTCAAATACAAGTTAAAGTACACTACTGTGCTTTAAAATGCATTATAATATATTTATCTTTAAAATCTTCAATTTTTCAAGTATGGAATAATGATTAGTTATAAGATTTTTACCACAACTTAATAATGTTTCCTATTTCTGCTTCCCTAGCTACATCAGGATTTTAAGTATATTCATGACTGAACTTCAGGGAATCAACTAACCTAGCAGAGTTACTGCATCTTTATTCTAGTTTTCACCTGAAACATCCAAGGTGTAGGTTTAGGAAATCACCTACTTACTGTTCCATATCACTGGGAAGACATGGCATCGCTCAGTAACTAGTAGCCTCCCCCCACCCTTATCCAGAGAGATTATTTTGAGGCCACTGGATCATCTAGTAACTACTTTCCTTTTGGTATGCCTATAGTCCCTTGTGGTCCAGCTAATATTTATTGATCACTATGTTCTAGGTACTTTATTTGGATTATATGTCAATCCTCACAACAACTAATTGAGGGAAATATTATTATTTATAAATAAGAAGCTCAAGATCAAACATTAACTAATCAACCAATCAGAGGCTATAAGTCACTAATTCATACAGGTTCAATTTGAACTAGTCAGTTTGACCTGAGATCTCAACTGTTTAACATATTACAATTTACATCTTGTGTACAATTGTGTCGCATCTATAAAATAAGGTAATATTACTTATTTTACCCATGAGCTGTCACAGCTTGGAAAATTGAGCTGAGTTGGGGGACATAATTAAGATGGCAAAACAAGGAGCCCTGTTTCCTTTTTGTCCTCCTCAAACACACCAATAACAGTGGGCAAAATAGTTCTCTTTATGAGAATTTCACAAACTTTTTGAGAGGCTTTGGCAAGAGACCAGCCACATTTTAGCCAGAGGTAGAAATAGTCAAGATACTTTCTTGCCATTCACCTATCCCTTACATCGTTCCATGTAATCAGTGAGAAGCTCTAACTCCCAGCTTCTCCCTGGGGAGAGCAGGAAAAGATGGGAACATAATCCAGTATTCTGACTTTTTTCTGAGGACTCCCTGAGGCACTGGCTTCTTCTGTCTTTTTATGTAAGCTTAGGGTACCATATTCACTTTCTGTTGCTTTAACAAAATACCTACAGGTGGGTACATTATAAATAAAAGTTTTATTTAGCTCACAGTTTGGGAGGCTTAAGGGCATATGACAGGCACCAGCTCATCCATAGTGAGAACTGGACAATGGTGGAAGCATGTGTGAGAGGGCAAGATCACCTGGTGAGATGGGAAAGCAGAAAGTCTTGCTCATTGTTTTCATAGCAACTGAGTCTCGTGAGAACTAACTTAGGGTCCCAAGAGAGCTACCTTAATCTCTTCTGACCTAACCACTTCACTAGACCCTACCTTGTAAAAGTTCCGCCACATCCCAACATTACCATGCTAGGGACCAATCTTCCAACACTAGATCATAGAGGAACAAACTAAGAAAATAATTATAGAAGACACAAAATATAAGGAGAAAGGAATCAAAGCATATCAATGCAAACAATGAAAGAAACACAAAGGAAGATAGCAAGAGAGAAAAAGGAAGACAAAATATAAGACAGACAAAAGCAATTTTCAAAATGCCAACTGTCTGCCATAAAGAAGGATAAACATGAGTCATTTGTAGGAAAATGGGTGCAACTTGAGACTGTAATGTTAAGTGAAGTAACTCAGATGCCCAAGCTTAAACACCACATGTTTTTTCTTAATGAAAAACTACATGTGAAATAAAAAACAGATAATGGGAAAAAAAGAAAGAAAAAAGGGGGGGAAGGATTGTAATCCAGTGAGGACAATGTATCTAAAAGTGCACTTTGATTTAGTACAATTGTCTTACATGTTTTATCTGTTCTTTGGCCTAGTTAGTCTGGTTTTCAATCTATATATGATAATTAACTTTATAAGATCTTGTAACATGAATAAATGAATCTGATACTGGAAAAATAAAAGGAGATGGAGGGAGGGGGAAAAAGAAGGGAATTGAAATGTGTTGTATATATGTACCAAATGTAATCATTATGTACTGCAAAAATGTACTAATAAAAGTTAAAAAAAAAGAAAACAAATGGCAATAATAAGTTCTTATCAATTGTTCTTTAAATGTGAATTCATTAAATGTTCTTCTCTAATCAGAAGACATAGAATGACTGACAAAAAATAACAAATGCTAGTGAGGACAAGGAGCCTACATTGAAATCATACCACCTGTCTTTTCCAGCTACAGAGGAGTAAAAATAGAATCAATAGCAAAAAGAAAACTATAATTCACAAGTATGTGGAAATTTAACTAATTTTTTAAACAGCCAAACAATAAATTTAAAAGGAAATTAGAAAATGTCTCAAAATGTATAGGATGTAGTAAGAGGAAGTTTATACCAGTAAAAGCCTTTATCAAAAAAGAATAAAGATGTAAACTTAACAACCTAACTTCACACCTAAAAGAACTAGAAAAAGAACAATGTAAGTTCAAAGTTAGCAGGAGAGAGATAAAAATTAGGGCAGAAACAAACAAAATAGAGAATATTTTTTAAAAACTAAGAGTTCCGTTTTTAAAGATAAACTAACAAACTGTCAGGTCCACCATCACTGTTGTAGACAGAGAAATTAGTCAAGAAAAAGAAACAAAAGACATCCAAGTCAGAAAGGAAGAAGTAATATTATCTTTACAGATGACATGCTCTTATATGTAGAAAATCCTAGACTCTCCACAAAGAACCTATGTTAAACTAATAAACAAATTCAGTGAAGTTCATACAAAATCGCAATACAAAAATCAGCTGTTTCTGTATACAAACCATGAGCTATCTGAAAAATAAAATAAATTAAGGGCTTAAGCCTAAGACGTGAAAGAATTTACAAGAATATATAGAGGAAAAGTTCAATGACATAGAGATGGGCAATGATTTCTTGAATAAGACACCAAACGACAAGCAATAAAGGCAAAAGCAGACAAGTGGAACTACAACCAGCTAAAAAGCTTCTGCACCATAAAGCAAACAATTAATAGCCTAAAGAAGTACCTACAGAATGGAAGCAAATATTTGCAAACCATGTATCTGGTAAGAGATCTATATTCAAAATGTATGAGGAACTTTTTTTTATTAAATAACTTTATTATCAAACACACACATAAAAAATTAAAACCATTTAAAGAAGAACAATGCAAGGGGAAAAAACTACAATAATATTCAAATACAGTAGAACTCAACCAAAACAAAACTGAAAAGCACTTAAACATTTTTCCGTATGACTTAAAAAAGCATCTCAAGCACCACCAAGACACCAGAGGATGTGATTTGTTTCAGAAAGATCCCCAAAACCAACACTGAACAAATAGTAGCCTGGAAAAGAATTCCAGTTAACAGACTCCACATAAGCCAAGCTTCTCCCTAATTTAAATTTTGATATAGTCATATGACACGCGATGGAAACAATCCGAGAAATACGTTATTAGGACATGTCATCCATGTGTATCCTTATTTACACTTTCAGTTTCTCACACTAGAGAAACTATTTGGTATTTACACACATGTGTCCTATTTATTTCACTTAAGA